CTTTTCTATGCGTCCCTTCCAGCTGATGTCAAACAACCATGGAAGCTTAGGTACCCGAGTTGTAACTTCTAGCGCAGTGGTCCTCAACCTTCTGGCCCTTTAAATACAGTTCCTCATGTTGTGACCCAACCATAAAATTATTTTCGTTGCGACTTCCTAACTGTAATGTTGCTACTGTGATGAATTGTCATGTAAATATCTGATATGCAGGATGGTCTTGGGCGACCCCTGTGAAAGGGTCATTCGACCACCAAAGGGGGTCACAACCCACAGGTTGAGAACCACTGTTCTAGTGTCAAATGTACCTTCACTTACTTTTCTGCCTACATAAGTCCCTCTCACTCCCTCTAAGTCAGAGCACTGTTTCGTGGCCAGCCCTCAACAAGTCTTCAATAAAACTCTCTTCTTAAGTTTACAGAGTCCGTTTTCTTTTCCTTGACAGACCTGTCCAGGTCATTCCTTCCCCCAACCCCTCCCAGGAGGGTTGGGCAGCAGGGAGGTCAGGCTTGGGGCCTGCCACACCCCCAAACCAGAAGGTGTGAGGCAACCACCATGTGACCTGGCCCCAACAGGAAAGAGCTGATTGGCCTAATATGGTCACCTGACCCAACAGCAGCCAATCAGTAGGCTAACCTAGGATTTGGTGAGCTGATTCTCTCTCAAGAATTTGAACTAGAAGCACCTGACGGGCAGCGGGGAGGGACAGAGCTGAGCTGATATGGGAGGAGGGGCCAAAGGAGGGGATGTGGGGTCAGAGCCCCCGGGACTGTCCCAAGCCCAGTGGTGAGGAAGCAGTTCTGGGGGTGGGGGAAGGGGGGAGGGTGGAAGCCACAAGGCAGAGGAAAGATGTGAAGAGCAGAGGGTAATAGGCTGGTTTTAGATCGGCAAGAGCATGTATTGAGTTTCTTTATGGCAAAGGTTTGGTTTGGTTTGCACTCCAGTGAACGTCTGCAGACTCCGGCTGCTGGGCCTAGAAGCCCTCTTGCGTCTAGTTCCAGGCCAGGTCCTGACTCTCCCGTGGTTCCTGTTCTCGTATGTCCACCAGGTCTTGCTGTCCAGTGTGTCCTCACAACCAGAAACGCCCATCACTTGAGGTAACAGGAGTTGGACTGTGTGTCCTGCAAGGTCCAGAACGCAGCCGCAAAGAGAAAGTGAAAGAAGACCACCAGAGGGCCAGGGCACAAACTGGCGTCACCAGGAACAGAGCCCAGCTGTGCCCTCAACAGACTTCACACCAGGCCGTTCTGGCTGCATTTCCCCCAATAAAATCCTCCTTTATTGGGCTGTATTTAATTCTGTGAAAATATGCCTTATTATAAAAACAGAATGAAAGCCATAAACCAAACCTCAAAACCTCTAGCCAAACAAGATCCCGTTAATGTTTAAAGTAACTGCTGTCGGGACAGTCCCTTCAACTTATTGCTTTTGTCGCTTGTTTCTTGAGATCACGGCGCCAATGAGGCCCACGGCTGCCAAGCCCACTCCTGCGATGCCAGCCGCCATGATGGCATCTCTGACCTGCAAAGAGAGGAGGTGGGTCAGACCCTGGGTCAGGACTCTGAGTACAGGCTGTGCAGTCAACAGGAATGTTCAGCTCATAGAGCCTTGCATGCCCCTTGGTCTCCATAACAAACTCAGAAGTCAACAAATATTGGCAAGGAAACGGGGAGAGAGGGCTGGAAGGGAAGAGGGTTGGTGGATGGAGCCAGCTGGCCAGGGATGGACCTGGACTTGATGAGGAACCTCGATTCCCCCGGCGGGTATTTAAAGCACATGAGTCCCAGAGGGTGGCGGTGGAAAGGACAGGGAGATGCAGCCAGGATAGTTGCGGTCCTGGCTGGCCAACGGGGAGCCCTTGAAGCTAGTGTGAAGTCAAGGAGGAATTGCTACTGAATCATCAATAAACTATGACCTCCATGAGAGCAGGAGCTCGCATGTCTTGTTCACTGCTGTATCCCCAGGGCCCGGCCAGGTGCCTGACCAGGCGCAAGCAACACCAGCTCCTGTGATGACGCCAAGGGAGAGCAAGCCCTGTCTTCAGCTCACAGCAATGTTCCCCATGAAGGCACAGGGCCCAACGCAGCAAAGCTGTACTTTCTCCCACTGAAGGCTTGAAAGGGTCTTGAGCACAAATCGAGAAATCTCACCCCAAAAACAAGCCAGACATTTAAGCAGAATCAAGAATAGCAAAGGAAATAAATAAATAAAACAGGAAAGGACAAGATTCTTAATCATTGTATGCCAAGAAGTCCAATGAAGACAGTGCATCAAACATCCCAGGAATAAGAAGGATGAAAATGTGGACCTGATACCCTGAACCCACATCCTTACATGGCCTGGTCAGCGCTGCCCTCGCTACTCTAACCACAGAGCTTGCCCGGGCTGTATATGTGTGGCTGCCACAACCCCTAGGTGACCAGTGCAGGAAAGAATTTGGAGCTCCTCTAGGGATATATAGATGCCAAATGTGTCCAGCTGTGTGAGATGTCAGGAGACACCCGTGTAACTAACATGACAAGGCACCCTTCACTGATGTTCTTAGCAGCCAGAAAATATGATGACAGAATTGGAGGAAGCTACAGATCTGAGGTTGACTGCTGCTCAGTTTAACTTTCCCTTAAAAGGCCATGAGTCACGGCTTTGTGGCCGCCCTGGTTCTGCTGGTGAACTTGCTAGGAAACCGGCGAAAATTCACTTGCGCCCCGTGTTTTCCTGGCTCAGCTCTGTGTCAGGCGGGAGACGTGGTTGGCAGATGAGGGAGGAGGCACAAGGGCCCCTAATTCTCTACAGAGAAGAAATGCTGATGCCGCTGGATCATATAAAAGAAACTTTGTCAAGGCAACAGCAGCCCCATTGTCTGCGGTCACGCTGTGTGCAGGGTATAATGAAACCCAGGAGAGTGCCCTCTGGTTAGTCCTGGTGGTGCAAACGCTGCAGGAAAACCATCCTGAGAGTCAGCGCGACTGCAGAGGCCACGGATGGCTTCCTGGTGCGAGGCTGGTGGGTCCAGCGCAGCCTCCGTGCTGAGACCACCAGGGTTCTTTCTGATCAGGAAAATGGGCGACCCGGTGTGCGTCACAGGCCTCAACTCAGAATGCTATGAAGGAGAAACACTAAGAAATCCATCTTTCTTTTTTAAGTGGACAAACTGAAATACTGTCAGACTACAGAAACCTCGCTGTCTATGCTACTACACAGCTTCTCTCAGTTAAGCGCCAGAATTGTTTCCGGGGAAAAGAAAATTTTAAGGTGCTTTCTGCAAATTCAGTAATGTTTTATGTGGATAAAAGACAGTGTTATTCTAAAAGCAATCGGATTTTGACTATAAGAAGCTACAAAATAAAAGTGGGTATAAAGTATTTGTATAGAAATCTAACTTTAATAATTACAATAATAAAAAATAATTCCTTGCCATTTATCCAGATTTATGTAATATATGCATTACCTTTGGGCACATCTTCAATTTCTATTTATTCTAATACTTCATCTGACAAAGAGTAGATTCACTATGAGTGTGGCTCCTAGTTGCTTTTTTAAGAAGTTCTATCAGCAGGCCCGAAGGGAGTGGCAAAAATTGTTCATGAAGTGATGAAAAGCAAGGACCTACAACCAAGATTACTCTACCCAGAAAAGCTGTCATTTAGAATTGAAGGACCTATAAAGAACTTCCCAGACAAGAAAAAGTTAAAGGAATTCATCACCACCAAACCCTTATTGTGGTGAAATGTTAAAGGGTATTCTTTACGAAGAAGGGGGAAAAAAGACAAAAAAATATTACAGAAAATATTTTGATGGTTGCCAGATAGGAGGGGTCAGGGGATGGTTAAAAAAGTGAAGGGATTATGAAGTACAAATTGGGCCCTACCTGGTTTGGCTCAGTGGATAGAGTGTCAGCCAGTGGACTGAAGGGTCCCAGGTTCGATTCTGGTCAGGGGCACATGCCCAGGTTGCAGGCTTGATCCCCAGTAGGGGCATACAGGAGGCAGCCGATCAATGATTCTCTCATCATTGATGTTTCTATCTCTCTCACTCCCTCTCCCTTCCTCTCTGAAATCAATAAAAATATATTTTTTTAAAAAAGAAGTACAAATTGGATTGTTACAAAATAGTCACAGGAATGTCAAGTTTAGGAAATATCGTCAAGAATACTCCAATAACTATGTATGGTGTCAGATGGGTACAAGATTTGTCGAGATGATTACTTAGTAAATTATATGATATCTAATCACTGGGTGGTGGGGTACACCTGAGACTAATATAATATTGTGTGTCAACTGTAATTAAAAATGACTTAAAATGAAAGAAAAGTTAAATTAAAAGTACTATTCAGAATGGCAGCTCATTTACAAAAGCCTATAAGTATATCCTTTTTGAAGCCTGAGGATTTTCAGGTAGGCGGAAAGTCATGGAATCATTCTTTAGGAACTCGGGCATGTAAAGCACAAACCAGCCCTGGCCGATTTGACTCAGCGGATAGAGCGTTGGCCTGCAATTGAAGGCTCCTGGGTTCTATTCCGGCCAAGGGCACAGGCCCAGGCTGCGGGCTCGATCCTCACTGGGGCGGGGGGTGCAGGAGGCAGCCGATCAATGATTCTCTCTCATCATTGATGTTTCTATCTCTCTCTCTCCCTCCCTTACCCTTACTCACTGAAATAAATAAAACATATTTAAAAATTAAAAAATAAAGCACAAACTACATTTTAGTCTAAATCCATTACCACCCTTTCTTTTAATATATATATTGCCCTAAATGGTTTGGCTCAGTGGATAGAGCATTGGCCTGTGGACTGAAAGGTCCCAGGTTCAATTCCGGTCAAGGGCATGTACCTTGGTTTCGGGCACATCCCAAGTAGGAGGTGTGCAGGAGGCAGCTGATCGATATTTCTCTCTCATCGGTGTTTCTAACTCTCCCTCCCCTTTCCTCTCTGTAAAAAATCAATAAAATATATATTTTTTTAAAAAATAGTTTTAATTGATTTCAGAGAGGAAGGGAGAGGAAGAGAGAGATAGAAACATCAATGATGAGACAGAATCATTGATCGCCTGTCTCCTGCACGCCCCCTACGGGGGGTGGAGCCCGCAACCCCAGCATGTCCCCTTGCCCGGAATCAAATCCATGACTCTTCAGTCTGCAGGCCAACACTCTATTCACTGAGCCAAACCAGCTAGGACCATTACTGCCCTTTCTAACTGGTAAGTTAAATGTCATAAATATTCCGTTGAAGGAAAATCTAATCTGTTTCAAAGAGCACAGCACAAGTAAACATAATGACTGAGCAGATTGTTAAAGACAAACAAAAATGTCCTTGTGGGTGAAATGGAAAGGGGACTGCCATTGGACAGCACTCACCAAGGAAACGCTGCTAGACATTCCAGCGTCCACTAACCACCACCCTCACGAGACGGGAGACGTGTTTGTTAAAGACAAACAAAAATGTCCTTGTGGGTTAAATGGAAAGGGGACTGCCACTTGGGCAGCACTCACCAAGGAAACGCTGCTGGACATTCCAGCGTCCACAAACCACCACCCTCACGAGACGGGAGACGTATGGAAGCTACATTTAGTTTGTTCACACCATGTATTGTGACCGTTACTCACTAGGCCAGTAGTTCTCAGCTGGGGACAGGTGTGCTTTGCCCTCTGGGGGAAATTGGCAACAGCTACAGACATTGGTTCCTCATTCCTGGCGGTGAGGAAGTGCTACTGACACCTAGTGGGGAGAGGCCACAGGTGCTGCTAACCACCTGGCAATGCACAGAGCAAGTCATGACAATGAAGAACTGTCTCCATTGTCAATAACCCAAAACGTCAGTAGTACTGAGGTTGATAAAACCTCATTTTTAGGCCAAGAAATGAAAGAAGGGATCTTTGAAAACAGTATAGATGGCACCTCTTTTTGTTTTGTAATATATTCTGGTTTCACTTTTGTGTGTGTGTGTGTGAGGAGGTCCAAGAGAATTGTTTATGCTGTTTTATTGTTGCTGTGTGGTCATTGTTTTGTCTTTCCCGTGGGTGGGTAGTGCACAGGGCTAAAGCCATAGGAAGAAAAGTGTGACGTGTCCAATTTCCAATGCTTCATTTTGCAAGAAGAGTTGAATTTTTGTTTCCATAGAGTAAATGATAGAAACTATTTCTTAGCTATTTTACTATCTCAAACTTAGAATCATATTTAATTGCTCTGAATATCATTCGTGCCTAGTGACATATGAAATTACATAACGATTTTGTATTGACACATAATTCTTCATTTACATAAATCTGTGAGTCTGTTCTTTAGTCTATTAATAATCAATGGAAAATAATGAAAAATGAGATGACTAGGAGATATTCTATAAATCTACCAAATCTTCCTCATGCAGCACCCTGAATTCATAGAGTATCCTATTGCTTTCAAGTGTCTAGAGTGACTTTTACTTCAAGTTTATTGCTGCATAGGAGTATGGAAATTTACCTGAAGTAAAAGCCACCTGGGAATGAGGACCTCAATTGTTAGGCAATATCTCCAATAATGAAAACAGATTTATTGAGCATAAGTTTCTCTTTTTTTATGTGATAGTGTCACTGCTACTTTTTAGAAAAACTTCTTTTATATCCAAATCTATCAATAAATGTTAGTGTTCTCATTTAAAATAAATAAATAATGGAAAACAGAACAGAGACGATAATAAAGTCATAGGAGCAGTCTGGGGGTCCAACACTGGAACAATTGGAGTTTCAGAATGAGAGAAGAGAAAATGGAAGATTTCTCAGAACTGAAGCAAAGGGGTTTCCAGAGTGAAAGCCATCATCAAGTGCCCAGCACAATACAGAAAAGTAGATCCACACAGCTATGTCGTCGTGAAATTTCAGAGCACTGAAGGTAAAGAAAAGATTCTATACCTTCTGGAAAGAAAACATAGATCACCTACAAAGGATCCGAAATCTGAACCATTTCAGACTTCTCGACAACAAGAGCATTAGTTATCTGACAATGAAGCAATGCCTTCAAATTTTTTTTTGGGGGGGGGAGGCGGGGGGAATATACTCTTTTGCATCAACATGCACCTAAGAACTTTTCCAATGTTTTCACACAAAAAAAAACAAATGGTCCTGAAGGTGCAGGAAGGGAGAGGAGGAGTGAGAGGGAACAGGAAAGAAGTTAGCTTCCCAGGAGAAAAAGAGATTCCAAACGAGAGGGATCACGGCCAAAATCAAACTTAGAAAATGAACAAGACTGCATGCCCTGGCGCCCCCTGGACTGGCCCTGGGGCTGCAGCAGGGCTGAGAACAGCGCCTTCACATGAAGAGCCGTGCCAGGCAGACCTGGGCTCCAAATCCCGCCACTGCTACTGATCAGCACAGCTGCCGACCCCAGGAAGACACCAGTCCCAGGTCTGCAGACTCAACACAGATCTGTTTGGTCGAACAAATGGTCCTCGACGAGTTACGTAAGTGCTGTGAGCCTCGGCTTCTCCATCTGTAAAGTGGGGATAATAAAACCCGCCTCTGGGCCTGTGGGAAGGGTCCATCTCCCAGGCAGCCAGGGAGGCCTTGGCAATGGGGGTGACATCACCCCCTAACTGAACTGCTCTACTCTGCTGATTGGCAGTTCTCCCCACCCTCCTCCCTACCCCGACTGTCACACCCTCGAGGGCAGAGATTCTGTCCCTGCTATTTTGTTTCCTTTGTGCCTCCGCCTCCACCCCGGCCGCCCACCCGGATGCCCGGACACTGTCAGCGGAGGGAATGGTCTGGTTCCTGGGGACAGGGACACGGGCGGAGGACGCACCTGGTCGCTGCGGGGGACTCCATAGCGCAGCTCATTCACGAAGTGCTCACAGTTCTCACTGGTCACCTTGTAGAGCATCTCCTGCCCCACCAGCTCCTCCGCCCGCTGCACGATCTTGCTGGGAGGCAGCGGGGAGTACTTCTGGTCATGCTTGTTGTTGACATGGTACTTGTCTTTCCCGGCAACAAAATACAGCAGCTCCTTCTTCACTATGGCCTTGTCGGTCAGGGCGGACATGAGGCTGGCGGCCCCCGCGCCCGCGATTTCACCTGTGGTTCCCAAAGAGGAAAGAGGGCGATGGTCCGGGGCTCACAGCAGCCTTCCTGCTGGGCACCCACCCTTGGCAGGCTCAACACGGATATTTTAAATAAAATAAATGGTGATCAACAAGTTCCTTAAGGGCCGTGAGCCTCTGTTTGCGCAGAGGAGCGGATGTGAAAAGGAAAAGAGGGGAGGGTCAGACACACACGCTGTGTGGCTTTGGAGTAGGTGCTTGTGGTCTCTGGGCCCTGGTTTCCTCATCTGAAATCAGGAGTTAGTGAAGGTCCATGATTCGTGGTGATTTTATTTTAACCGAGAGAGGCTGCCTTCTGCACCCTGTGCCGCCCGCCGCAGAGGCCCTCTCGGTTATGCAGACATGGGCCCTGAGCGCACCCATCTCCCTGGGCCACAGAGTGTGAACCTCCTGCGATTCTATCGGGGCCGCACCTCCTTGGCGTACACAAAGCTGACCACTGTAGGAAGGTGGAGGATTTGCACATGTCATTCCTGCCCTTCTGGGAGCAAAGGGACCAAAACCCCATAGCTGCTCCCTGCGAGGTGACGCCAGGGGGGGCCAGTGGGCTCCCCGACACGGCCCTGGCCAGGGCTGAGGCCCTGGAAGGGGCAACATAACAGAGTTTGGAAACCATTGCCCCGACCAAACTGCCTTCTTGCAGCTCTCAGGACCCACTGCCAGTCCAGGAACAAAGAGCTTTGCCCACAGCTCCCCGTCTCCCTGTCCCCCAGCCCCAGCACAGTGGGGGCCCTGGGCATCCTTACTTGGGGGGGCCAGGTGGACCACATATCCATCACCAACGTAGACGGCCCAGTGTCTGTAGAAGGGGCGGAAAATCTCAATCAGGTCTCCAGGGTTGGGCTCTGGCTGCAAAACCAAGAACAGGGCTGTGAGCGGCGGCAGGAGGAGACCTTGGAACCCGGGGGCACAGGGGGGTCCCCGCCCGGTGCTGTCAATCAGAAGCGTGTCCCGCAGAGGCTCCGCGCCTGGCCTGGGGCCTGAGAACTGGTGATGAGTGTGTGCGTGTGCGTGTGTGCGTGTGTGCGTGTGTGCATGTGTGCGTGTGAGTGTGTGCATGTGCACGTGTATGTGTGTGCACATGTGCGTGTGCGTGTGTGTGTGTGTGAAAACCCTTCCTCCCCTCTGCTGTACCCCCCACCCACATGTGTGGGTTTCCCACACCAAGCAATTCAGTCTTCAGTGAACACTAACCACCACCCTTAACGCAGACCCCACAGGTTAAAGGCTCGGTCCCACAAGACTGCCCCCCGCAATTCAGGTGCCAATCACAGGTCCAACTTGTCACCTGAGCTTCTGACCACCAGCTGTACGTTGGGAGTTCCCACAACCCCTTCTCAGCTTCAATCATTTCCTAGAGCGGCTCAAGGGACTCAGGAAAACCGTTTACTTACTAGATCGCCAGCTCAGAACAGAAGCTAACACTCAGGAACCGCCAGATGGAAGAGATGCACAGGGCAGGATGTGGGAGGGGCCCAGCGCCACGCCCTCGCCCAGCCCCTCCCGTGTCCGCCAGTCCATTACAGCAGGGCTTGGATGGAGGCTACACGAGGTGGGCACCATTGATTCCATCATTGGCCATTAGTGACTGACAACCTCCAGCCCTCTTAACACAGGGCTGCCTCCCTGGCTCTGAGCCCGCATCACCTCATTAGCATCAATTCAGCTATGGCTGAAAAGGGCTTATTTGGGGGGGG